CAAAATTTTAAACCGACAGGGTGTCGATTTACTAGGTGTCATGTTTCACAACTTGTTTATTTATATACGTATAGCGGATGATTTTTTGTTTTTTTTAAATTAGTATTTATTGATTTTCAGCCCCCCAAGTGACTGTGGCTCCGACCGATATTTCAATCGTCCATTTTTCCGTCACTAAAATAGTAACACAAGGAACTTATTCTTTTGACTATTTAATGAAAATGTTCACTTACTTCGCTCCGTTTGAGTCGATTTTTTTGCCGTGTGACTATTCCAAGGTGGCGATCCCACTGCGATGATTCATAGTATGGTTTCCTTGTTTTATAATTCAATACCGGACAACGACTCCCGCATATTTACTTGTGGTTTTATTCTGTCAATTCTTTATTAGTGTTAGTGTTAGTGTTAGTGTCCGATAAAAAAAATATTCCAGAACTTGCAACCATCATAGACAAAAGCTCTTCTAAATCATAAAGTTGATATTCACGGCGAAACACGCAATCGGTTATCCATAATATAGGTAACGATTTTGCTAGTTTTACTAATTGCTAATTCTGAATTCCTAGAATAAATCGCTTGTACCCCAGTTAAAACCATTCTCTACATATGGAAATTATTTTCAATGTTGAAAATATTGTTTTTACAGTATAACCTATTTTGTATTCGCGCTATCCGCATGCTGACATAGAATGGTTATAAGAACTCCCTAGGTTACTAAATGTGTTAAAACTTAATTACGTCACTCCCTCACAGTCTAAACTGAGAAAGCCTCATAAATGGCTGCATGCATTGACATATAGTTTTGCCTGCACAGTTTCAACCCAATAATATTTACAAGTCAAACTCTTTAAGGTAGTGTCTCATATATAATGCTGTACAAGCAGTAAAATCACTGTATTTTCTTCCCCTTTAAAGGTCTTCGCCTCGTTCCGCTAACTTTCTAAGCAGGCAAGAAACTTTGTTAAGAAATGGATTGGTTTAGAGCTTGCATATCTAGACACAGGAATCCCAGGAACTATAATAAACTGTACGTCTAGACTAAGCGTATGGGGTGGAGGTATCAGTTCTCGGGCTCCCTGTGGTGTTACAACAAACGAAATGCGTTCAAGGTTGGCGTTGGAACAGAATAGTATTTAGAAAGTCACGCCATATATAATCTGAACAGGTGGATTAGATTCAACGGGTGGGTGTACTGGTGTTTGGAAGAGGAAATGTTTCTCGGCCCGTTATTAAACAGATGCATACCATGCTCACTCATTCGTGATATATGTTATGAATATTACAGTAATATTCAGTAATTATTGAATTTGAGTTTACGTAATCTCACGCAGTTCGTGAATTATGTATTCCAAGCGATGTTTGGGAACAAGTAAAAACGAATAGGACATACTGTATTTGCATTCCAAAACAATAAATTAATGATATTAAATAGAATGATATACATTTTATGCGTCCTTTTTCACTTGCATTTCACTCTGATTGTCTAGAGTGGTTGTAGTAGCGAGACTACATTCATAGAGAATCTTACAGGTGGCAAACAAAGTCATCTCCGAATGTTTCCACTGATGGCGCTCTCCCGATGCTCCACGCAGTCGTATGATGACGAGGAAATGTTCTTGTGCATGTCGGCTAACATCAGGTTTGCCGCTCATGGCGCGTTATAAGGGAAATATTACCCGGATTTATGTCACTGATACTGCGTGATGCATATGATAAATGTTGATTTTCATATTATCAGAAATTTAAAACAAAATGCTTATTTATTTGGTGGTGATGAAAAATAACAACAAGCGCATTGGGTGGTTACATCGGGCCACGTGTTTAGCACCATATAGTGGTCAGTATTTTACACTATAGCGGGTGCATTGCTATAAATTAGTGTGATCGTATGCAAATCATGTACGTACACAATGTGTCAACAAAGTCACAGCTGGTACGAGGATTATACTGACATCATTTGAATACAATCGATTTGTTTGTCAAGTACATAACATTGAATATAATGAAATAGCAATAGTAATAAATTAGAAATCACCAATGTGTCGCATCAACTATTTGTTCAGTGTTATGATTCATGTTAAACGACCGTTCTATCAACAATTGGCAGACAGTGTTGTTGGGGGGTGGGGAAATACTATATAAGTTTTTATTGGAAGGAGGCTACTAATGAACTCCGCTCACATTGACGAGATATATTTTCTGAAAATCTCATATTACTTTCTTGGGTTTGGTATCATTCAGGTCGGATTTAATTCTGTGTAATCAAGATGTGTGTTTCAGATCTTGGAATCTGTTATTTTGACCAAAAAACACAGTTTTGAACTGAAAGATCATTGTTATTGAAAGACAATTTGGCTCAAGATATATATTTTAAACTAGTTATGTTCAACAAATTTTAGCGTTGTTTCCTATGGGAAATCAAACAGTGGTTTTGGGACGCATAATGAAATCGTGCGTAGATAATATATATATCACCAATAGAGAAGTAAATCGAAATGAAAAAACATACTTATACATGCACTGCTCTATGGGGTTGTAGTATGCAAACGCAATTACTTTGATTTTTACGGTTGGACTTTGTGTTAATAATAATATTAATTTAGATATGTTTTATATTGTGCGGTTTATATGGGACGACATACTACTTACTCTACATCATAGAAATAGCAATAGTCTCAAATGAAAATCAATCAATTAATCACCAGTCAGGCCCAATTAATGGTCTATTTTGTCACCAAAAACACCAACAAATACATTGAAATTGTCTTAACCCTCTTCCAGTCATGCCTGACTTGATTTCATTCAAACTTGGGCAACACACATAATGTTTTGTTTTCGTGATTTGATTTAAAACTTCAAACTAGTTTATTGTCGGATTATACCATTTTTTAAATAAATATATTAAAATTAAAGAAATATATTCAAAATTTTATTTTCCAACATTGTTTTGGGGGGTCGATTGAATATGGTCGATTGTCATGGGAATATTATCAGTTATTATTATATTATATTATTAAGGATTCCATAACTTTTGTTGAAATAATGGTGTGTTTTTTTATAGAAAACAAATATACATAGTGGTTTACCAGTGCATATCAGTTTCTTTAAAGTGTTAATTCAAAATGCGGAGACATTTTGAGCCTGTAGAATGTTTGTTTTTTCCCAAATCGCCAAACATACTTTATTACTTTTTAAACTGTTGTGTTATGACATAGACATGCACCTTAGACAATGTGTCGATTTCAATGACCTTCTTTTATGCTCCATAAACACTCTTGTACTCAATATTAGCGCTAGTGTACTGTAGCTTTCAGTACCTCTCTTATTCCCGGAGAAAAATACTAAAATAATATTAAAATAACTGAGTGTAGGTCAAGCGAGTTTTCGATGGTGGGGTCATAGCTTTGTGTGTTGTTGACATATTGTTAAAGTCATTGAATCCCTGTATTTAATTTTCAGTATCACATTCCGTGTAAACAAGTTATCAGTTCTAAGTAAACACAATTTTAAACACAGATTTGATTAGGCTTTGGTAAAATCTATGCTCGTAATTACCTAATTTGCATGATAATTAGCTAATTTTAGC